TACCCTTAAAAGTCTTCAGTTTGAGTGTTTTAAACATTAAATGTGGGTGCATCATTTTGTAATTGCACAAAATGGGATAGGAAGAGTATGAATACTTTTGGAAGACACTATACTGTACATATTGTACTGTAGATGTATTCTGATGTCTCTGAATATACACACGGAACCCTGTAATTTAAATGTCTAACTTTTCAGGTTTTAGAGATGGTGTAAATTTAGTGTACAAAATTGAAGACTAGAAAAGAGATGGGAAGAGTTTATGAACAACAAATTTGTTCATTTTCTATACATCTGAAGAATTGTTGTATGCAAATATCCTGAAGCAAATGGTTTTTAGTTATCTTCTTTTTCAGTCTTAACAATCTGATGGATGTTTTGAACAAAAAAGAAGCGCCAAATTTCAGACTCTCTAAAAATATTCCTTAAATATAAGAAAATCGGGTTGAATGTGGTGGAGACCGGTAAAATACATAGTGAGACTTAATTTCTCAAATCCTGTAGGTTTACCTAGAGTATCACAAGGCTCATTCTTCCAAGAGCAGATGTCAAGTCCAGTCAGTAAGATGGCATGATCATGGCGTTTGCCTTCCTTCCCACTGACACCAGACTGCCACTGACAGAAGCTGTTCAAAGTGTGGTCGGCATGGTGATTGATGACCAGTCCAGTCTAACATATCCCCGACCACCAGGAGCAGGAAATCAGAAACAAGAAAAGGAAGAGATTGGAGACATTTCAAAGACTTTTCCTTATTTGACCTTATAAGAGACGCAGAAACAAACATGGCAGGTTGTGACCCACGGCACGTTTTGCCTTAAGACATCAAATGGTACTTAGCACAATCATAAAGATAAGTGAGGGCATGGAACATTAAGCATTCATTTGCACTAAATATAATTAAAACCAAGAACCAACCAATTGGGACAAAAATAAAGTAGTACATTTTTCACATTCCACACTCAATGGTTCTCTTATAAAATTAAATTAAAATTAGCCAAGGTGTACAAAAAACAAACATAAAATTTTCTCCACACCCACTACCAACTCCCATTCAATTATTCCTGAACTCTAAATTGCCTGGAAGGATTCAAGCCAACTATACACCAGTGATTAAACAAGGTTCCATACTGAGTGATTTGAAGTGTCACTTGAAGTACATGGAGATATTCAGCTAGCACCTCAGAACTAAGAGTCTAGCACATATGGTTTCAAATGAAACTTTCCCTTGTAACCAAACTTCATTAAATAATAAAAAAATGGCAAACATATTTTTAAATGATTTAATATATAAAGATCAAGTGCTTATATACTACAATATCCTGTTTAATTAAATTTGGCATGAATTGGCAGCAAACACAAATAATTTAGATGTGTATGACTCACAGTAGCGATACATTAACTATTAAAGTCTTGTTTGTGAATTAATAAAACCTTTAAAAAAACAGTATCACCGTGTTTCAAATACAAAATGTATACCTCATACGACAGCTTTGAAACACAATGTTCAATAAGAGAATACAATATATAGGCATTTGAAAAACAGTAATTATTATTTTAAACAGAGATCAGATTAAAAAACGTCCGTACAAGCACAACTGAAAATTACAAAACCATCTCTTGTTGTCATGTTTGTTTTTATTTACCATGGGACTTCTTAAGGTATACCTTTACATGAATAGAAGCCTACCACATCAGTTTGGTATTTGATTATATACATATATGTTTCATTATATACTGTACATATCTTAATATACATTATTTTAAAATAAATCTGACAAATAACTGGACAGATGAGGTATATAAGCCTATTTATTAGAATGTGTTTGCCTTGGGAACAAAGATAAATGTAATAAAATGAAAATTTGAAGTACTTTTCTGTCAAAATACAGATAGAGTACATACCTGATCCTCTTCAAGAAGAATTAGGCCTACTATTACAATGTTAATGTTTCCTCCTATTGTTCCATCTTTGAACAGGGCAGACACCTTGGAGACACAAGAAAGTAAAAAAGTAAAAACATTTTTGCCTAACATAGAAAAATATTAAAATAGACCTCAAACAGAGAGAAGTTAGAGAGAAGTCTATCATTGTGAATTAGACCAAATGAGCATATCCCTTCACTAATGTATTTCACCCCTATATGCATACAGTATGTGCTGTATGACAGCAAAAATATAGTACATACAGTATGTATAAGTACATATACTGTACAGTGAGGAACAAGGTCAGTGCATGTAATGCTTTCAAAATTAGCATACGATGGGACTTTTTCATTGCAAAGGCAGCATTAACTCCAACGTCTTTATGAGCAGAAAGTCCACAGTGTTCTCCGAATGGCACAGCTACCTAAAACTCACAGCTACACAGAAACAGCCACATCATTTTTTTTAACAAAATGGATTCAAACTATGCTCTGACAAGCAGTGTTCAATACAAATATGTTTTTTGTGAATGATAAAAAACACAAAGTGTAAAAATACATGCGAATTTGTGCAATTTGAGACCTTTCATTTTCAGTTTGATAAAACACCACCTGGGCACACATATACTGTATTAGGATTGCATGATTAAATTAATTAAAATAAATAATTGCCTTACTTTAAATCAATCACTTAGGTTTTGGGTTGAATGGTATATTGGTATAAGTATAAGTATATTGTTATACTAGGTTATACTCAAATACCCCAGATATTAATTCCTCTTAGAACTCCCTGACTTCCATAGTTTAGAGCACTGATAGGCACTGCTGGTCCTGGAGGACCACAATGTCTTCTGGTTTTCAGTTCTGTTTGTACACCTAATGACTTGATTTGAATCAAAGTAAAATAATTTGTCACTCATTTGCCCAAATGTCTGTAAAATACTGTGATGTGAAATGAGTACATATAGTACTTCATAATCCTTCACTATTATTTGCACCAGTACATAACTCAGCAAAGTTACTCTGACATATTAAATGGCCCACACACTTCCTTAGAGATTCCTCAGGGTATTTCAGAATTTTTTAAGAGGACCACTTTCCAACTGCATGTCCAACCTTGTAATCCCACACAATTGTTAATGCTGTGAATATGCTTCTTTTGATTTGAACTGTGTAATATTCAGAATGATGTTTAAAGGTAGTCTAGTAGTTTTACACATTTAGTAACTAAATTGACGAGATTGACATATGTTTATGTTAGTTAATACTAATAATGTATAACAACTACAGTCTGTATCAAATAGAGTCCACACATAAACTTGAACTTGAACACTTAAACATACGAGATACATACAGTATGAAACCAAGGCACAATTTGAAATAATAATAAAAAACAGTTATCTTACCATATTCAGTATCGTCAGTACATAAGTAGTGATATTTTCCCTTCCATGATTTTCCATCATCTTTTTGTCCACTACCACCAGGGTCTCAACATTCATCTTCTGAGATCCCTGAGACTTGAACATAACAGCCCGTTTGTGCCTAGTTATATATTTATATTCATCTGGCAAGATGTATATGTCCTGCTCTGGAGGCTTGGGCATGTCTGTTTAATAGAAACAAATAATTCAACCTGTTAAGAAGCACAGGGAAAATAAGAATTTCATCGTAAATACCAATATCTGTCTAAGAAATTCTTGGCAAGTAAACAAATAAAATATGTAGCAGAAAATTTGGAAACCCAATGAGGGAATGCTTTTTGAATAATAATACTTAGGTAGTTGAATATATTTGAAAAACATAAAATTAAAAATGAGCATTGCTTATTTTCCTTTAGATGGATTACAGCACTGCAGTATAGACAGCTCTCCGGATCAGCCTTTGTTAGCTTAATTCCTCCCTTCAAAGAGTGCTCTTTTTTGTGACCCTGCTTCATTGATTTTCATGATAAGAAGAGAGTTTAACTGGAATTTAGCCCAATGGGTTTAGTTTCCCAGACAAAACAATGCCTTGACCAAATCCCTCAAAACACAAGAGGAGGCATGTAAAAAGTTTAGCAGTTTATAGAATATAAAATAAAAAAACAAATAACAATACATGTGGGGGTTGGCCTGGTATAAACATTATGATATTCCAGACTTATTAGTTTTGTATTATTTTTTCAAATTAAAATGTAATGAAAATATATAATACATCTTTAATAAAAACAGAACAGTTGGAAGAAATTACATTTACAAACAAAACTGAATGGAAATGGAAATCACGTCCACCTATGCACAAAATTATTTTGTATACTTAATGCACTACTTCAAGAGTTCATTGTTTATTGTCATTTTTGAAAATGTTTTAAAGAAAATCCTAACCAGTTTAGAGGAGTCAAACCTTGAAACAGGTTATGTCAAACCTATAGATATAGAAATTAATCAATATGTGCTGCTTATCAAGGGAACCAATGCCTTTGTGCAACTGGTACTGTATGTTAGAGCCATACTTCAGGTAGACTTCCCAGGACTTCTTAATGGGATTCCTGGAATTATTGCGAGATAGGAATGTAACCAGTTTGCCTTTGGTGATCCACTTGTGAACATGGATTATCTGCGATGTTTTGGTATCTAGGGCCCAGAGACCACCAAGTGGTGTATGAAGAGACATGGGCTTTTCCAGGATTCAGGAAAAGAATGGTACAAAATTCCACAAGACGACATCTGCAACATGATGCTAAGCATGCGTTACAGATATACAGTACTATATGCATTGTATTGCTTCCAATAGCAATCAAACAATTGTCTGTGACTTTAAGACTATAAGACCTGTTGATTAGACTTGTTGTTGACAAATGTTAATCTGCATGATTAATTTACCTGCCACATTCAATCAATTCAAATTTTCCTGATGATTTTTGAACCAGTTTGCAAATTTGTTACTGTTATAGGTTTATTTTGATGCTCGTTATACATTAAAGATGAGAGAAAATGTGTAATTCAAACCAAACCTGGCTACTGTCATCTGCATGAATCTGTGTGTCATAAAACTAAGTTCATTCATTAACACTACTGACAAGCAATGCGAGCAAATAAAGAGACGTCTTGGGAATAAGAGGAAGGCCCTTACATACATTTCTTGCGCCTTCCACAGTAATGCTGCTTTTGCCTTCTCCCATGCTTGTAGTCATTATGAAGATGGTGATGGTGATGTTCTCTGCTGTGGCCTTGAGGTCTATCAACCATTATGACTTCATTGTCTGCTGCGTGCTTGTTGGTCTCTACAGACCTCTTGTAAAGGATATGAGGCTGATGGCTGGCAGAGGCAGTGTAGTTTTCATTCAAGGCAAGATGCTGAGGTAGAGGCTTCAAGAAATAGTCCGTATTCTGTGTCCTGATCAAACCTGACTAGAAAAAAAAAAGTGTATTAACTCCATATGGCAAAAGTAATTGTTCTTGAGTACTTTTTTCCAGTATTGGCAATGATAGTATTGTTTTATGAAATGAGCTTGAGGGCCGAATGCCCTCTATACTATTGCAAATTCTATGTTCTTTAGTACAGTATCTCACTTACTTTCATGTTATTATTCCACCCATCTACCCATCATCTAACTGAGTTATCCAATACAGAGTTGCGGGGAAGCCACAGCCTATCCCAGCAAGCAACAGTTGCAAAGTAGGATACATCCTGGATAGGATGCCAGTCCATCGTAGAACACACACAGACACAGGCATGCACTCACTCACACCAGGTCTAATTTTCCCAGAAGCCAGTTCACCTAACAGTATGTCTTTGGACAGTGGGAGGAAACTAGAACACCCAGAGGAAACCCATGAGAACAAAGGGAGAACATACAGTACAAACTCCTCGAAGTTAGCACCAGAGGGGGCCCAGTGTTGCAAGGCAGCAATGTTAACTACTGCAGCACCATGCTGTCCATTTTATTATTCTACAATTTAATATTTGACCCAGTTTAAGTAATTGACGAATAGTAATTGACACAATTTTGCATATTACAGAAAGATGACTCATATGCTGGTGAATTATTATTGTACTAATAGTTCATTTAAATACCATTTTTTCCTCCTAAATGCAGTACTTGTCTCTTCTCCTAAATTAGTGCATTTCTGGGACTATAAGAATTTTGGTTGATGTTTTTATCTCTTTTCTTTTCTGATAATATTTACTGATTGAAAAAAGCAATTCACCCCAGAATGCTCCTACTGTAAACAGTATATGGATAATTCAGACTGAAAATATGATGGAGGTCCATGCATTACAATACAAATACTGCATACACCACTGGAGGCTTTAACACACACATTTAACATTTTTAGACTAGACACTAGTGATTACAACTTTAAAACTAAATTATAAAAAATACTATAAAATGACTTCTCTTTAATAGTTCTGTGAGCAGAGATATATGCATACAAATACGAATCGCTATCATGTAATTGGCAAAACAAAAACAACACAAATTAAACAAAACAAAAAGTCATGGGAAATTCCTGCTGGCATCTGCTGCTCATGCATGGAAAGTTTAATTCCAGTCTTATCCCACAAAGATATTTAACTGAAGGCCTTTATTTCCAGAAATAGATTATATCTGTTAACACAGTCAAATATACACAAATCTGTTAGACAAAATATTTTACATAAGTAACATCAAGAACTCGGAAAGTTATTAAGCATTTTAATTTTTGGAAAGTAACTTAATGAGCTGAAAAAGTGTTATGCTGAGCTGGCTGTTATCTTAATAGATTTTTCAATTATTAGTTCTAGAATGAGGACCATAAAACACAGCAATTAACAATAACATTGTTTCTTCCAGCTTGCTAAAAAACTAGGACTGTGCTAAATAAGAATTTCCACATAGTTTTCTTTAAGTCAGTTTCTTGACTGAACTTCTTTAATTTCAATGAAAGGTATGCTTCTTACTTTCACATATAGTTTATTGTGTGTCTGTTGTGTCTCAACCTGGTTTTAATTCAGAGAAAGTTAAATTATTTGTAATTGTCCATCAATAATCGGATTATTTTGGTTGCACGATAACTTAATAATTGAAATAATTAATCATAGGCAAATTACAAATGTTAAGAGACAACACCATTTCCCGAGAGTGCAATTTAAAAATGCTATCGCCTTTGAATTGATGTAAGAAAAGGAGTATTAAAGTCATGTCTTATAAGAAATTATACAATCTGTATTCAGCACAAACCAGATGAAATGCAAGACACATGGTGTATTTAAACTTTCAGTTGCTTGAAGAACTCTTAGCTTAAACAGACAGCATAGAATTTGGAATGATCGTGGATGGAAAGAAGGGAGGATAGAAAACAATATGAAAGCATGATCTCTGATGAGTTTCGGTGTTTTTGTTTTACAATCCCAACAATGTGAACAAAGGAACAAAGTTTAATCCTTCACTGAAAAATACTAGGGATTTTGAGAGACTGAAATCCTGCAGAGAGGCTCTTTATACCATGTTCTGCATGCATGAAATTCATCTTTAGAAACAAAGTGCCAATTATTTTCCTTTTTGGAAACAATTGGTAACAAATAAAACCTCCTCCCATGGAATCTGGAGTTCTCAAAGCTTAAAAGAAAGTAAGCCAAGTATCAAGTAAGGTCATCTTTTGAACTTGAGTTTTGTTTAAGCACAATTTTGTATTTGGTAATTAGTAGATATTTGGGATTTTATCTTTTAAATCCCCCCAAAAATGAAAATTTGAAGTAGTTTTCTACTTAAATATGGATACATACCTGATCTACTTAAAAAAAGAATCAGACCTACTATTACAATAAGAAATATATATATATATTTATTTTTAAATCTTTCAAAAGCATTGTGTCAACAGATATTGTAAAATTATTCGACAACAGAATGAAGAAACTATAGGAGTTGATAAGATGTACATTATTCATTCTTTTGAATGCATGTTGTTTGCTTTCTTACATTTTGTTTATGCTAAATACAGCTTTCCACTGGTTCATTCAAGGACACATACAATTTTGAGACACCAATTAACCTTTTAAACCACCATTTCTTTGGGAGATGGTAAGAAACCAGAGTATCTGGCAAAAACCCATGTATACACAAGAAGAACAGGCAAACTCTGCAAAGAAGGCACGAAAGTATGGAATTAAACCCGGAACTCAAGGACTATGAGGCAGCAGCAATAACTACCAATCAACATTACTTTATGCTGTAAAAGCAAACTATATTCAAAGAAACAGAACATATGCTCTGAAAATTGTTACAAGCGTCCCTGCATTTTTAAAAGTTCTTATAGTAGATACCGGTAAAAGATATCTGTACTCTATATCTTGAGAGGAATTTGATGAAAAACAAAGCAAAACGAAATGTGAAAAATGAATGTACAAAGCTGAAAATGGTGAATAATTGGCAAAAAGTGCACCCAACGGTAGATAACTATCAACATCCATGTTTGTGGCATGGCATGTTTTGAAGACTTAAGACTGTTGGAAAACTGGGCCATTGAAGTAACAATCTTCTGATGGTGATATGTTCTTAATTAAAAAACATCTATCAAGTTCCAATTTAATTTGTGTGCTGCTTTGTCACAGAGCACAGACAGAAAGCCAAAGTGGCAGCTTTTGATGTGATGTTAATGAGTTACTGTATTTATTTTCCACATTTCAACACCAGGGATGGTATACATAGACCTGTCAGCCTGAACCAGTATTTAATAAAGACACTTTAATAATGAATGATGCACTAAACAGTCTGTAAATATGTTTAAAAAAATCTATATATAATTTATGTTTACTGACTATTGTCTGTATTCGAATACATTCTAATTTATTATGACTGTTGAATACATTGTTGAATACAAAACATGTACACGTACGTAGATTGCAGAAACACTTGGAAATGAAATTAATATCATGCAGAAATGAAAGAGCATCAGAAGCTATGTTTTTTTAGCATCTTCATGCAAATGTTTTTGATCAAAATAACTCATCTTCAGTACATGCAGATGCACATACCCCTGGCCTTTTGTCACTGAAATTTAGCAGAGTATCATAATATGTTTATGTTTAGTTCATTCACAGCAATTATCTTTCATATAGCATCTGTGTTAGTTTCAGGCAATTTCTATCACATTTTTCCCCATAATGATTAAAAGCTACGAATGAAAGGCAACTTACAGTATGAAGCCTGTTTTGAAAACCTGTTGTTCTTTTTGATGCAAAGAGTTTAGATTCAGCCTGGGTATGCTTAATGTTATTATTGTATTGAAGAATAATTTCATCCACAAGTTACTACTCTTGTGGATATCAACTGACAAAGAATGCAGTGGAACTATTCTTTGTATTAGTTTTATTTTTTCCACTATCATCTTCTTCTGTAGACCATGTACAATAATGCAATCTGCTAATCTCTTACCTCTTTTTTATCATATCATTTCCCTTGGAAACTTGGAAATAACTTTGAAATTGATCTACAGCACTTGGCTATTCCTCTTTTGTGTTTTTAGTGATTTTTAAGTTATGGTTTGGTGCCTATTGTAGTTGTCACTGTAATTGCTGGTTACAAAACTGGAATGGAAGCTGAAGCCAGTGGTTCCTTCACAAAATGGCTGAAGAAAATCTTCAGATCAATTAGCTACCCAATGAGACAGACGGACAGAAAGGTCTCATCTTGTTTGTAAGGTTTTTTGTGTTCTTATGAAACAGTCTTCTGCTATAAATGTGATCTTTTTCTCTGTCTTCAAAACTTAATTTAAGGACTTATAGTTTAGCATTTTATTGTGGTTCCTGCAGTTGAGGACTATATAGTACATGTAACTAAGCAATCAGCTTCTATGTTTTAGTAATGCCTATTTTAGTTACCCATCTTTTTTAGATAGATAAAATGCTGTAATAACATTAGTTATTTTTCCATGTATTGATTTGATCAGTTTAAATCAATCAGCATTAAAACTATGCATGTACATTACAAAAACATCACCTGAGGTGCACACAATCTATGTATTATGTGTTGGGTGAAAATGCCATCTTGCAAAAAGAGTCTAATTAATATCTGGACTTACAACATAATTTTCAACCATGGGTGACCTGGACAAGACAAAAAGAAAATCATTAAATTTAATCTGTCGCTACCAGAGCAAAAAGTTCTGAAAAAAAGCCTGCAGGAAAGTAGTGTTTCTTTTCAACAGTGTTATCAATGTTAATGGGAGGTTTTAATACAATATGTTGGTTAAACACAATAGGATTCAGTTCTACAAAATGTTACAAGCAGCTCACTTGTAACATGTATGTTTTATCTGAGAGGAATGTCTGTACATTTGTTTCAGTTTTCACTGAAGGTATTCTGTAGTTTTGAGCTTGTATATAACTTCACCTTTTAAGAACAATTTGAAATGCATTAGTAAAACCC